AAAATAAAAAATAAAATAAAACTTTTAAAGCACTTTGTATCAATGCAAAGATGAGTTTAGAGGCACCGAAATGTATAAAGTAACAACAAGTGTCTTAAAATCCTTTGCACAAGCAAAGCGTGCGCACAAGTGTAGTAAGGCACTCAAAGAAGAGTATTAAGACACTCATTGAAGTGTAGCAAGGCACTCAATGAAGTGTAGTAAGGCACCGTATGAAGCCAATCGTCTTTAACGAAAAGTAGGATAAAATAAAAAATGTTTAATTGTATTATTTTAGAAATTATTTTCAACATTGACTTTCTTTAAGTTCCACAATTCCCACAGACCTGTTACCATAGACCTGTTACCATAGACCTGTTACCATAGACCTGTTACCATAGACCTGTTACCATAGACCTGTTACCACAGACCTGTTACCACAGACCTGTTACCACAGACCTGTTACCACAGACCTGTTACCAAAAACCTGTTACCACAGACCTGTTACCACAGTCCTGTTACCATAGACCTGTTACCACAGACCTGTTACCACAGATCTGTTACCACAAACCTGTTACCACATACCTGTTACCACAGACCTGTTACCACAGACCTGTTACCACAAACCTGTTACCATAGGCCTGTGTTACCCTAGACCAGTTACCATAGACCTGTTACCATAAACCTTTTACCATAGACCTGTTACCATAGGCCTGTGTTACCACAGACCTGTTACCACATACCTGTTACCACAGACCTGTTACCAAAAAACCTGTTACCACATACCTGTTACCACAGACCTGTTACCAAAAAACCTGTTACCACAGACCTGTTACCACAGTCCTGTTACCATAGACCTGTTACCACAGACCTGTTACCACATACCTGTTACCACAGACCTGTTACCACAGACCTGTTACCACAAACCTGTTACCATAGGCCTGTGTTACCCTAGACCAGTTACCATAGACCTGTTACCATAAACCTTTTACCATAGACCTGTTACCATAGGCCTGTGTTACCATAGACCAGTTACCATAGACCTGTTATCATAGACCTAATACTATAGGCATGTTACCATAGACCTGTTACCATAGACCAATTACCATAGGCCTGTGTTACCACAGACCTGTTACTACAGACTTGTTACCACAGACCTGTTACCACAGACCTATTACCACAGACCTGTTACCACAGACCTGTTACCACAGACCTGTTACCACAGACCTGTTACCACAGACCTGTTACCATAGACCAGTTACCATAGACCTGTTACCATAGACCTGTAACCACAGACCTGTTACCATAGGCCTGTTACCATAGACCTGTTACCATAGACTTGTTACCATAGACCTGTTACCACAGACCTGTTACCACAGACCTGTTACGACAGACCTGTTACTATAGGCCTGTTACCATAGACCTGTTACCACAGACCTGTTACTATAGGCCTGTTACCATAGACCTGTTACTATAGGCCTGTTACCACAGACCTGTTTCCATAGGCCTGTTACCATAGACATGTTACCATAGACCTGTTACCATAGGCCTGTGTTACCATAGACCAGTTACCATAGACCTGTTACCATAAACCTGTTACCATAGACCTGTTAACATAGACCAATTACCATAGGCCTGTGTTACCACAGACCTGTTACTACAGACCTGTTACCACAGACTTGTTACCACAGACCTGTTACCACAGACCTGTTACCACAGACCTGTTACCATAGACCTGTTACCACAGACCTGTTACCATAAACCTTTTACCATAGACCTGTTACCATAGGCATGTGTTACCATAGACCAGTTACCATAGACCTGTTACCATAGACCTGTTACTATAGGCCTGTTACCATAGGCCTGTTACCATAGACCTGTTACCACAGACCTGTTACCACAGACCTGTTACCACAGACCTGTTACCATAAACATTTTACCATAGACCTGTTACCATAGACCTGTTACCATAGACCAGTTACCATAGACCTGTTACCATAGACCTGTAACCACAGACCTGTTACCATAGGCCTGTTACCATAGACCTGTTACCATAGACCTGTAACCACAGACCTGTTACCACAGACCTGTTACCACAGACCTGTTACTATAGGCCTGTTTCCATAGACCTGTTACCACAGACCTGTTACTATAGGCCTGTTACCATAGACCTGTTACTATAGGCCTGTTACCATAGACCTGTTACTATAGGCCTGTTACCATAGACCTGTTACCCCATAGACCTGTTACCATAGGCCTGTGTTATCATAGACCAGTTACCATAGACCTGTTACCATAAACCTTTTACCATAGGCCTGTGTTACTACAGACCTGTTACCATAGACCTGTTACCATAGACCTGTTACTACAGACCTGTTACCATAGACCTGTTACCATAGACCTGTTACCACAGACCTGTTACTATAGGCCTGTTACCATAGACCTGTTACCATAGACCTGTTACCATATGCCTGTGTTACCATAGACCAGTTACCATAGACCTGTTACCATAAACCAGTTAAAAATAGGGGTGTGTTACCACAGACCAGTTACCACAGACCTGTTACCATAGGCCTGTGTAACCATAGACCAGTTACCATAGACCTGTTACCATAAACCTGTTACCATAGACCTTTTACCATAGGCCTGTGTTACCATAGACCAGTTACCATAGACCTGTTACCATAGACATGTTACATGTTACCATAGAACTGCTACCATAGACCTGCTACAAATAGACTTGTTACAACAGATATATTATCATGGATCTGTTATCTAAGACCTGTTATCATAGAACTGCTAACATAGACCTATTACCATAGACCTGTTACCATAGAACTGTTACCATAGACCTGTTACCATAGACCTGTTACCATAGAAATGTTACATGTTACCATAGACCTGCTTCCATAGACCTGCTACAAATAGACTTGTTACAACAAATATGTGATCATGGATCTGTTCTCTAAGACCTGTTATCATAGAACTGCTAAAATAGACCTGTTACAAATAGACATCGTATCCTAGACCTGTTACCACAGACCTGTTACCACAGACCTGTTACCACAGACCTGTTACCACAGACCTGTTACTATAGGCCTGTTACCATAGACCTGTTACCATAGACCTGTTACCATAGGCCTGTGTTACCATAGACCAGTTACCATAGACCTGTTACCATAAACCTTTTACCATAGGGGTGTGTTACCACAGACCAGTTACCACAGACCTGTTACCATAGGCCTGTTACCATAGACCTGTTACCATAGACCTGTTACCATAGGCCTGTGTTACCATAGACCAGTTACCATAGACCTGTTACCATAAACCTATTACCATAGACCTTTTACCATAGGCCTGTGTTACCATAGACCAGTTACCATAGACCTTTTACCATAGACATGTTACATGTTACCATAGACCTGCTACCATAGACCTGCTACCATAGACCTGCTACAAATAGACTTGTTACAACAGATATATTATCATGGATCTGTTATCTAAGACCTGTTATCATAGAACTGCTAACATAGACCTATTACCATAGACCTGTTACCATAGAACTGTTACCATAGACCTGTTACCATAGACCTGTTACCATAGACATGTTACATGTTACCATAGACCTGCTTCCATAGACCTGCTACAAATAGACTTGTTACAACAGATATGTGATCATGGATCTGTTCTCATAGACCTGTTATCATAGAACTGCTAACATAGACCTGTTACAAATAGACATCGTATCCTAGACCTGTTACCATAGACCTGTTAGCAATAGACATGTTGCCATAGACCTGTTACAAATAGACATATTACCATAGACTTGTTACCATGGACTTGTTACAAATAGACTTGTTACCATAGATCTGTTACCGTAGACCTATTACCATAGGCCTGTTAACACAGACCTGTTACCAAGACCTGTTACCTAGACCTGATACCAATGACCTGTAACCATAGACAATTTACAATTTAAATTATACATCTATGAAATGTCATAAAGTACGTCACGCTATTTTTGAACAATTTTTACTCCAACCCCCTCGGGAGTCACAAATCTCGCGCGCCCCCTCGGGAGTCACAAATCTCGCCCCCCCCCCTTACCCATTCCCCTCCTAACGATACAAACAAAAGTGTTTGTCACACTTTCCAAATAAAATATTGTTTTATAAACATAACAAACTAATCGAAATCTAACCTTGAGCACTCTTCACTGTTGAAAGATTAAATATATCAAAGCGGCATCTTCTGTCAGAATACATCTGTCACAACAAAGAGTTCAACATCACTGTCAATTCAGGTTTCATATGTACATTAATGACAATAAAAATGTTCATGTTACGTCACACCCGATCTCTCTGTCTCTGTCTCTGTCTCTGTCTCTCTCTCTCTCTCTCTCTCTCTCTCTCTCTCTCTCTCACTCTCTCTTTCACTCTCCCCACTTCTCACACACGCTCACACTTTCTTAGAAACCTTTTTTTCCCCTTACATACATTGTACGTCCTTCAACCCAATCACAATACATCTGTCACAACAAAGAGTGCAACATCACTGTCAATTCAGGTGTCATATGTACATTAATGACAATAAAAATGTTCATGTTACGTCACACCCGATCTCTCTCTCTCTGTCTCTGTCTCTGTCTCTCTCTCTCTCTCTCTCTCTCTCTCTCTCTCTCTCTCTCACTCTCTCTTTCACTCTCCCCACTTGTCACAAACGGTCACACTTTCTTAGAAACCTTTTTTTCCCCGTACATACATTGTACGTCCTTCAACCCAAAGACGTGTACGCTTATCTGTAGGTATTCAAAGGGAGGTAAACAAACAAATACGAAGAGGTGAACCTGGAATGCCCATTTTCGTTTTTTTAAAGGGTGTCGCATTACAAAGAGTGATGCCCCCTTGTATTATGAGCCACGAGCTTCACTCACCTTCTTTTGACAACAACAACAACAAAAGTGTGACTATCTGTCAGCGTGGTGAGTTTGCCTGGTGAAACTGCTGTCTGTGTGTCATTGAGTCGGACGTTCCATTGGCTGATACCACCTTGAGTTGCCAGTCTCGTGTTGAACACACAGGTTCCTCAGTTTCTTGTGCTCTTCTTACTCTGCCTCCACGCATCAGCTTCAGCTTGAAGAGGGACACATTATTCACGACAGCAGCACACCACTTAGGTACTAGAGCTAAGGAATACTGTTACATAAATGAATTATAATTTTTTATATGTTTCTCGGACTGTGACTAGCATACATTGTTTTGTAGGCGCACGTCCATATTTTAACTGATTTGGCATTTAACGCTTCCGTTAAGTTAATTTTTTTAACGGCTCTTATGACACATGTAAACAGTTGCAATGTCTCTGTAGTTCCTCTAAATTTCACTTTTCTAATATTTTAATTCATTAAAGCTATTTTTAAAAATTGCCAAGATATATTTATATCGAATCGAATGCTATGCAATAATGTGTTCCTTGCCATTTTAGGCAACTGTTCGTTGTTTTGACTTGGATATCATAGCAAAATGGCGCACGGTTATGACGTTCCTCTGACGTGTGACCTCGATCCAAGGTTGCAGTGCCCGATTTGTCTCCTCGTCTTGTGTAACGCCATCCAGACCACTTGCGGGCACAGATTTTGTGAGGCGTGCATCAAGAAAGTCATCTTGTAAGTTGTCCTCAAAAGTCTGGTCGCTACTTGTAGAAAAGTTCAAACAAGTGGGCCCCTTTTGGTTGGCTGTCTGCTGTTGATCGTTTGCACTTTCAAGCTGTCTCACCTCAATTGGCAAATAGCGTAATGTCATTTAAATTTAACAATTTAAGATAATATACCTACAGCCATCTAATCACTACTTCCTTACGATCCTACACAAATTCATTTCAGTTTATATAATCTCTAAAACCTATCCCAAATTTATTACTTTTAAATAAAGTTCAAGTCCGTCTCTACGTCTTTAGTTGTACCTTTGACAACACCACGTGACCAATCGAAAAATAAATATATATTTTTTTATTTTTTTGTAACAAATTTATTTTCAGAAGCAAAAACTCAATACTGACTTGCCCAATTGATAAAACGTTTTCAAAAGTTGAAGAGGTGAGAGATTTGCATGTTTTGTTTACTTGGAATTGTTATCTCGATTATTTTAAGATATTTTTACAACAATTAACCTTATAACTATGTTCCTAAGGTAACGTACATTGTTGTTTACATAAAATGATAGCCATTGAATGTTGGATACACTCCTAGCAATGCAAGTGACGTACCATACAGCACATAGAGGTGGAGCTCTGTAAAGCACCGAGGTGGAGCTCTCCAAATCCCTGAGAGGTGAAGCTCTCCAGAGAGGTGAAGCTCTCCAGGAGCATCGACGTGCGCCTCTACATGGCACAGGGGGATGCGCCTCTACAAGGCACAGGGGGGTGTGCCTCTACAAGGCACAGGGGGATGCGCCTCTACAAGGCACAGGGGGATGCGCCTCTACAAGGCACATGGGGATGCGCCTCTACAAGGCACAGGGGGATGCGCCTCTACAAGGCACATGGGGATGCGCCTCTAGGCACAGGGGGATGCGCCTCTACAAGGCACAGGGGGATGCGCCTCTACAAGGCACAGGGGGATGCGCCTCTACAAGGCACAGGGGGATGCGCCTCTACAAGGCACATGGGGATGCGCCTCTACAAGGCACATGGGGATGCGCCTCTACAAGGCACATGGGGATGCGCCTCTACAAGGCACATAGAGGTGCACGTCGCCAGAAATTTCGCAACGCTGCTGCTCTGACTCCACTCAAGTATATAGTCTCGCATTGTTCTACTTGGTGTATTGTATTATAGTATTTTTAAGAGTACCAACTGTTTACACTGATATTCCAGATATTTCCAGACGTGGCCACCAGGAGAGAAGTTTTGTCACTGGCTATCAAATGCACAAACCACAACGAGGGTTGCACGTGGCAAGGAGAGCTCAGAGAATTACAGGTCAGATAGGTCATTGTTAAACAGGTCAGATAGGTCATTGTTAACAAGCTGATTTGTACAATCTATTCTTTGATTACACGCAATATATGTATTCATGGTTGATTAAACACGTGTTCATGGTTGATTACACAAAGGATTTATGGTTGATACATTTGATTGATTCAAATTAAGTACAAGGCTTGTGCCTGGAAATACAATTAAGACTTTACCAAAAATATTGTGACCAGCTTTCTCCATTTACCAAAAAGGGAGGAGATAGCAGAGACAAGGTGTTATCTGAAACATGAAATTTAACTTCCGACTTTCTCATTTGCTTAGTCCATTTCATGCCAATTTCTACCAATATGAATTCTTCCATAAAATTTCTTCCAGGGTGTTTCTTCTACCAATATATATTGTTTTTAGTGTTTTTAGTGTGACAGCACCATCACACTGTGTGTAGCAACGGTTTTATTTTTTTGTTACAGAACCATCACACTGTTTGTAGCAAGGAGAAGGTCGTCTGCTCCAACGGATGTGGCGCCAAGTGTCGCCGGGCAGACATTGACGAACACTTGCACCAGTGCCCGTCCCGTCAGGTGCACTGTTTGTTCTGTGGTGAAAATCTGCTGCACTGCAAAATGATCGTAAGATATCTTTATCCTCGTGACCGTAGTCCAGGCATTGATCGCTCTTTTTTTCCCAGTCCCTACTTTGTTTAGAAACGTAAAGATAAATAATTGCCCGAACATTGACATAAGGCAAATTAGAAATAGATCTAGTTAACTTTTTTTTTTTACCTAAGTTGCACAACTTTCATGTTCTAGAGCCACACCGAGAAATGCCCCAAGGCCCCTGTAACGTGCACCCTGTGTGGTGATGACAAGCTGATCAGAGCTGAAATCGGACAGCACCAAGACCCAGTGGTGGGCGTATGCCCTAAAGCCATCATCACTTGTCCATTTACTTCAACAGGCTGTTCCTTCAAGGTATAAGACGCCGCACCAGTGAAAAAAATTCAGCTTCATTACTATCGAAGCGTCTTAAATCAAGAATATCAAATGTGAATGACAAAGGTTTAGATAAGTTTATCTAAACTGGTCCATTTACTTTTACAAGGTTATCTAAACTGGTCCATTTACTTTTACAAGTTTATCTAAACTGGTCCATTTACTTTTACAAGTTTATATAAACTGGTCCATTTACTTTACAAGTTTATATAAACTGGTCCATTTACTTTTACAAGTTTATATAAACTGGTCCATTTACTTTTACAAGTTTATCTAAACTGGTCCATTTACTTTTACAAGTTTAAATAAACTGGTCCATTTACTTTTACAAGTTTATATAAACTGGTCCATTTACTTTTACAAGTTTATATAAACTGGTCCATTTACTTTTACAAGTTTATATAAACTGGTCCATTTACTTTTACAAACATTTTTTAAGATTGGAAACATTTTAGAAATGTCGCATTTGATAGTTTAACCAAATCTATCTCCGTGTATAGGCCGAGCGTCACAAAGTAGAGCAGCACACCAAGGAGTTGGGCTCACTGTATCAACACATGGAGATGGCTGGGCGGAAGATTGCAGAACATTGCAACATTATCAAAGAGTTGCAGAAGGAACTTGTTGGAACTACAAAGTAGGTCATCTTCTAGTTGCCGATACAAAGTAGATCATTTTCTTGTTGCCGCTACAAAGTAGATCATCTCCTTGTTACCACTACAAAGTAGGTCAACATCTTGTTGCCACTACAAAGTAGGTCACCTTTGATCTTTGTCTACACATGAAGCTATGTATTTGTCTATCATTGGAACAATGTCTTTGTCTATCATTGGAACAATGTCTTTGTCTATCATTGGAACAATGTCTTTGTCTATCATTGGAACAATGTCTTTGTCTATCATTGGAACAATGTCTTTGTCTATCATTGGAACAATGTCTTTGTCTATCATTGGAACAATGTCTTTGTCTATCATTGGAACAATGTCTTTGTCTATCATTGGAACAATGTCTTTGTCTATCATTGGAACAATGTCTTTGTCTATCATTGGAACAATGTCTTTGTCTATCATTGGAACAATGTCTTTGTCTATCATTGGAACAATGTCTTTGTCTATCATTGGAACAATGTCTTTGTCTATCATTGGAACAATGTCTTTGTCCACACATGAAGCTATGTCTTTGTCTATCACTAGAACAATGTCTTCGTCTATCATTGGAGCAATGTCTTTCTCCACGCTTGAAAATGCTTATCCATACAAATGTACAGTTCTCATTAAATCTCTCTAGAAAAGCCACTGAGGCTTACGAACTGCTCATGGCAAATCAACGCAACCAATCACAGATGTCCAAGGAGATCAGAGACCGTAATGTGACGGGCAAACTTCATTGGAAGGTCAAGGTTGGCCAGCAAAGAAATCCTCGCACCAGCTACTGCAGTCCGTCATTCTACACCGGCTGCCCGGGATACAAGGTGAGTTAATCTGTCGTTGATACAGCTGGATACTATGTGTAGCACAATCGTTAGTCTTGAGTCTATATTTTATGGCTTTGACCTTGGGTCACTTGTGGGAGCAGCGATGTGAATTTGGCATGATTTTCAGATTACCGGTAGTTAAATGATTGACTTGTGTTACAGATTAGTCAAGGCCTGAGAGCAAGTTAAATTTATAAATTATCTTCTGGCTAATTTCAAGGAAAGCGTTAGATTTGACCTATGAACTGTCCTTTCAGGTTCAACTGACTTTGGACATGGACGGACACAAGGAAGGTCACGTCAGGTACACCAGTCTTAGTGTCACGCTGCTACCAGGAGAGTACGACGACGATATTGTCTTCCCGTTCAATGCCACGTGTTACGTGACCCTTTATGACCAGGTCAGTTGTTTACTAATTTAAGTACCTTGACAGATTTCTATTTATAAATTTAACTACTACTACGCCTGATTTAATGTCGGCCAGTTAATGTTGGGATGACAACCAGGATAAGTCTAGATTTTTTTTTTAAATTCTGTAATTGTCTTTGCATGCTGTTTTTGTGATACCTATAAGTCTAAAGACTTAAGAGAATAAGTCTAAAGACTTAAGAGACTTAAGACTTAAGTTTTTATTATTTTTATCATTATTATTATTCATGCAAGCCTGTGTTAATATTGTAAGTTACTAACGCCGAATATTTAATTAGATATGATTGAACTACAAATTTCATTATTTTGTGTGACGGATAATAACGTCATAATTCGAGAGCTTTATGAGCATATATTGATGTAGATTATTTAATTATGACAAGCCCGATAACTAACTAAACATAACTCTTGCTGACGTCTGCAGGCAAACGCTTCCTCTCGTCGTGTCAACCTGACCCAGGAGATAGTGCTGCGGGAAGTTCCCAGAAACAACAGGGGACAATCAGGGGACAGAATCTACAGGAGGGGTAAGAGTTCAAAATAAACAAAATAATAATAATAATAAAGTTCATTTCAAAAACACGCTTCATCCCCAAAGGCTCGAAGCGCGGTACAAAGTCAACAAAAAACAAATCCATAATTTAACACATTTAAAACAAACGCAACACTACAAAATCTAATTACAAGCATACAATGGCAAATTCTTTCTAGCCATTTCAACCATACGCAACATAAATAAATCATGGGTTGTGTAAAAATCAACAATCGGTTATCGGTTTCAAAATCGATTACCCGATTTCCGGTTATCGTTAACATCTTAAGTTTTTTTTATTACGTCTCCAGTCGCCGTAGTAAAATGTTAGTTTGAAACACTTCTCCGCCTTTCAAACACTGTTCGACCTTTTCTGTTTCAGAGAATAACAAATACATCAGCCGCTACGAGCTGATGGGCAGACAATCTCGCTTCCTCAAGAACGGCTTCCTGCACTTCGAAATTACAGTTCTGCACTCCTTCTACCCACCCCCTGAAGCCTCGCACGCGCCAGCCTGTCTTAACAATCTCTTCGGTCACGGATCTTTCATCATCCACACGCCTACCAGGCCACAAGTTCCTCCTCCAGCTCAGCCCCCGGTAATGGGTGTGGCATCATTGGCTATTGGGAATTAGACATTTTCCCCATAAACTTTTTGCGGAAATGTATAAAATGATACAGGGTTTACCCGTTTTTTTGTAAATATTTTTATATTATTCACTGTCCCCTACAACACATCGGAAATTTTTTATCATTTATTTAAACTGATAATTTTTAAAATAGTTTGTTTTAGACAAATCTGTTGCACCATGACATTTGTTTAGCTGCGCGTCTGTGTTAATTTTAAATTTCAGTATGCAATTTTTTGAATATATATGTAAAATTATGTTTAATGTAATTGAAAACCCTGCAATTAAGTCCAAAAGTGTTTTTGTATCCATGTCCCGATTTTAATCAATAATTTTAATTATGATGTTTTAACATACGCAAAGATTGGCTTATTTTATCGAGTTTTTGTGTTGTTAAATTGCATCAATAAAATGAGTTTATCTCCAATCAACATCTTGCATTATTTTACTTAAATATTGGATTGTGTAAATGAGGAAACAATATTTTTTTAACTTTACTAACTCCAAATCCCTTTTGATGGTGCAACATATCACATTCAAAGAAAATTAATTTCTTTAATCAAGAGCCCATTAGTTTTCAGATGCTGGTAAAATGTAAATGAATGCGAATTTTAATGAATTGTAAGTCCCTTAATACTTAGGACCTTGAATCAGTCCCTTAGTACTTAGAACCTGCAATCAGTCCTTTAGTACTTAGGACCTTGAATCAGTCACTTAGTACAAAGGACCTTGAATCAGTCACTTAATACTTAGGACCTTGAATCAGTCACTTAATACTTAGGACCTTGAATCAGTCACTTAGTAGTTAGGACCTTGAATCAGTCCCTTAGTACTTAGGACCTTGATCAAGTAGCAACAAAATCGATAAAAGGGGAATAATGCTGTGCATGGTCAAGGGGGTTAAACGTAATCTTTTAAAAACTATTTTCATTTTGTTGAGGCATTTGTCTAAAGACATTTTAAAATTAAGCGGATGTTAACAAAAAAATTAAAACTTGAAGAGAGAAAAATGTTTCCATAACAATAATCCAAGTAAAAAAATATGTAAGAAATGGTCGCTTTGTACAAGGTTGTAATCATATGATACAAACAATAACAAGATAACGTACACAAATCTGGTGATATTTGATAAAGGAACACTAAAGACCTTGACGAGGTCGTGGTCTTTAGTCTGCAATGTGTGCAATTCAAGTGCTCAGATGAATGGGAAAGTTTGTTGTATCTTAGTTTATAGGCAAAAATATAAACTACATATATTAGAGTATTCTTAGCTACCACCTACTTTTCAACTCACCTGGGCCATGACATGAACATACTTGCATCCACGAAGACCTCGACCTCTATTGCAGCTTGTACAACACCCCCCTCCCTCCATACGCCAAAAATCCAAATGCACAAAAACCTAAATAAGACCCTGTGGAGGGGTCTATGGGATCTCATATGCCCTTTTTGTCAAATTTTCCCCACCCCCTCTTGTTTCGATATGACATGTTATACGAAAAACCTTATAACTTAGGGGTTGTTTATTTTAATGATTTTACATAAGATACAGTACGACTAAATAGCTTTACACAAGATACAGTACGACTAAATAGCTTTACACAAGATACAGTAAGACTAAATAGCTTTACATAAGATACACTACGACTAAATAGCTTTAAACAAGATACAGTACAACTAAATAGCTTTACACAAGATACAGTTCGACTATTTAGCGTTATTTTTGGGATTAATGACCGATTTATAGTTACCGAGAAATGACTGTCACAGAATCATTAAAGGAATGTTAAAACTGGACAAAGACATATTTGACAGGTTTAAACTCCTTTTAAATAAACCCCATTGTCAACCAATCATAAACTTGTCAATGTAAGCACAGATGGCACCCCATTACAAACTTGTCAATGTAAGGAGAGATGGCACCCCATCATAAACTTGTCAATGTAAGCAGAGATGGTGCCCCATCATAAACTTGTCAATGTAAGTAGAGATGGCGCCCCGTCATAAACTTGTCAATGTGAGTATAGATGGCGCCCCATCATAAACTTGTCAATGTAAGTATAGATGGCGTCCCATCATAAACTTGTCAATGTAAGCAGAGATGGCGCCCCATCATAAACTTGTCAATGTAAGCAGAGATGGCGCCCCATCATAAACTTGTCAATGTAAGTAGAGATGGCGCCCCATCATAAACGTGTCAATGAAAGCACATATGACGACCCATCTTAAACTTGTCAATGTAAGCACAGATGGCACCCCATCATAAACTTTTCAATGTAATCTAGAAAAAACTCCTTTATAATTTTATAAGAGGTCATATCTAGCAATAAATCCTATATAACTTATAAGATGTCATATCTAGAAATAAATCCTTTATAACTTTATAAGATGTCATATCTAGCAATAAATCCTTTATAACTTTATAAGATGCCATATCTAGCAATAAATCCTTTATAACTTTATAAGATGTCATATCTAGCAATAAATCCTTTATAACTTTATAAGAAGTCATATCTAGCAATAAATCCTTTATAACTTTATAAGATTTCATATCTAGCAATAAATCCTTTATAACTTTATAAGATTGTCATATATAGCAATAAATCCTTTATAACTTTATAAGATGACATATTTAGTAATAAATCCTTCAAACGTTATAAGATGTCATATCTAGCAATAAATCATTTACAACTTTATAAGATGTCATATCTAGCAATAAATCCTTTATAACTTTATAAGATTACATATTTAGTAATAAATCCTTCAAACGTTATAAGATGTCATATCTAGCAATAAATCATTTACAACTTTATAAGATGTCATATCTAGCAATAAATCATTTATAACTTTATAAGATTACATATTTAGTAATAAATCCTTCATAATGTTATAAGATGTCATATCTAGCAATAAATCCTTTATAACTATATAAGATGTCATATTTAGCAATAAATCCTTTATAGCTTTATAAGATGTCATATCTAGAAATAAATCCTTTATAACTTTATAAGATTTCATATTTAGTAATAAATCCTTCATAGCGTTATAAGATGTCATATCTAGCAATAAATAATTTAAAACTCTATAAGATGTCATATCTAGCAATAAATCCTTTATAACTTTATAAGAAGTCATATCTAGCAATAAATCCTTTATAACTTTATAAGATGTCATATCTAGCAATAAATCCTTTATAACTATATAAGATGTCATATCTAGCAATAAATCCTTTATAACTTTATAAGATGTCATATCTAGCAATAAATCCTTTATAACTTTATAAGATGCCATATCTAGCAATAAATCCTTTATAACTTTATAAGATGTCATATCTAGCAATAAATCCTTTATAACTTTATAAGAAGTCATATCTAGCAATAAATCCTTTATAACTTTATAAGATTTCATATCTAGCAATAAATCCTTTATAACTTTATAAGATTGTCATATATAGCAATAAATCCTTTATAACTTTATAAGATGACATATTTAGTAATAAATCCTTCAAACGTTATAAGATGTCATATCTAGCAATAAATCATTTACAACTTTATAAGATGTCATATCTAGCAATAAATCCTTTATAACCTTATAAGATTACATATTTAGTAATAAATCCTTCATAACGTTATAAGATGTCATATCTAGCAATAAATCATTTATAACTATATAAGATGTCATATTTAGCAATAAATCCTTTATAGCTTTATAAGATGTCATATCTAGAAATAAATCCTTTATAACTTTATAAGATGTCATATTTAGTAATAAATCCTTCATAACGTTATAAGATGTCATATCTAGCAATAAATAATTTAAAACTTTATAAGATGTCATATCTAGCAATAAATCCTTTATAACTTTATAAGATGTCATATCTAGCAATAAATCCTTTATAACTTTATAAGAAGTCATATCTAGCAATAAATTCTTTATAACTTTATAAGATGTCATATCTAGCAATAAATCCTTTATAACTATATAAGATGTCATATCTAGCAATAAATCCTTTATAACTTTATAAGATGTCATATCTAGCAATAAATCCTTTATAACTTTATAAGATGTCATATCTAGCAATAAATCCTTTATAACTTTATAAGATGTCATATCTAGCAATAAATCCTTTATAACTTTATAAGATGTCATAT